AGGACAGCAGGTGGGATGTGGGTGACCACCCCTGGACCATACACCACCTAGGGCAGTGATGGCGAACCTATGACACGCGTGTAAGAGGTGACACGCGAACTCATTTTTTTGGTTGATTTTTCTTTGTTAAATGGCATTTAAATATATAAAATAAATATCAAAAATATAAGTCTTTGTTTTACTATGGTTGCAAATATCAAAACATTTCTATAGGTGACACGGCACCAGAGTTAAGTTAGGGTTTTTCAAAATGCTGACACGCTGAGCTCAAAAGGTTCACCATCACTGACCTAGGGCCTCCCTGTCTCTGCGCTGGGCTCGGTGGAGGTGTCCTAAAGGTTTTGTCGCTTGAGCCCTGAGGACCCTCCCTGAGGACCCTCCCTGTGGTCAGGCTTAGAGACTGGGGCCGTCCACATCCCACAGCCTTAGCATTGGGAAGATGTTCCTTCGGGGACTCCCAAACCCTGTGTGCTGCTGTGTCAGCCTGTTGGTGGCCCCATGTCTCCGATCGTCCTGATCGGAACTTGCTCTGTGTGCTCCCTGCCTCTCACTGGCAGATGACTGTCCTCCCACCTCCCTGCTCCTCCAACCTGTGCGGTCCCCCTCCAAACCCTCTGTCTCGTCCTCCCTTCCCACCATCCCTTCTGTCCCCAGTCTCGACAACACTCTCTCCACGTGTCCTAAAGCTTCCTGACCTACCCCTTCTCCAGACCCCCCACCGACCCTTCTCCGAGGACACGGACCACGCTGGACCTTGAACTGGTTATCTGTGGACACGGCTCTTCTCAGGTCATATCCTACGAGCCTCAGGGTCCCGGCACCCAGCCCTGCTGCCCATGGCCTGCTGCCCGGACAGACCCAGGCCCGGCTCCAGGCCCGGGGCCCAGGTTGATGCCAGCCCTACACAGCTGCTGCAGCCCTGGCAGACAGGTGGGTGCCTGGTGGCAGCTGCCGTCCACCCAGGAGCCCTGGCGCATTTTCTATGGGACACTCCGGAAGTCGCGGCCAGGCCAGAGAGAGGAACTGAGGCAGCACGTCTCCGCCTCCGCAGGGCCCCGCCAGGCTGGGGAGAAAGCACTTGTCCAGGCTGCTGTCCTAACAGGGCACGCTCGGCGCTTTGAGGGTCCCAGACGGGAACCGGATCCAAGCTGCAACTGACTCTGAGGCAGCTGCTCTCTGTCTGTGGGACTCACTGTTTGCACAGAACTTGTTGGCCGAGGCCCAAGCCAGGCCAGGCCAGGCCAGACGCACTGGACCTTAGCTGGAAGCAACTGATGGTACACTAATGGAGGGGCGGGCGGGGGCCGACTGGAGCCATGCCTGCCTTTTGCCTTCGTTTGTGCCTCTTCACTACATTATAAATGACTCATTCAACCCCACAGGCAGGTCCAGTGTTTGAGTTGATAGCGTGATTACCCTGTTGGTGTGCCCACTGATCTAGGACATCACAAACCACCCCGAAATGTAGTGGCTTCAAACAACACACACGCTTATTCTGCTCGCACACCTGTCATTGGGCAGGGCTCGTCTCTGCCCCGCTCCATGTCTGCTGGGGTCATTGGAAGGCTCGCTCCCTGGATGCTGGCTGGTGGTTGGGGACCTTGGTTCCCCTAAGGAAGGGTCGGCGGGGGGCCTCTCCATGGGGGCTAGTTTGGGTCTCCTCATAGCGTGGTGGCTGGGTTGTAGGGGGGTCACCCGTAAGGGAAGAGGGTGGGGGAGAGAGGGAAAGAGAGGAGAGAGAACAGAGAGAAGTTGTATCCTTTTTATAACCCGGCCTTAGCAGTCACACCGCAACTCTTCTGTCAAATTCTTTGTGCAGTCCGACAGGGGCCGTCACTCTCTCCCCCTCCCACATTGCGTGCGCGTACACACACACACACACACACACACACACACACACAATCACCCCCCCTCCCCCCAACTGCCCTGAGTCTGCCTTGGCCCAAGTCCTGTCCTTTCAGAAAGGATTTTCTTTGTGACATCCTAAGATTCAGTGGGACATTCATTATTAGGGGAGCAGCAAGGTCTACGGAGTGCTTCCCTCTGCCTTTGGCCCCTGCATCCTGGGAGCCGTTCCTAACCCAGCTGGATTCTGCCTTGGCCAAGGCAAGCTTGGAAGGGCCTTGGCAGCTTTGGTTTCTACCCAGAGAGCTGCCAGCTCGCCTGTCGTTGTTGTCACTGGGGCATGGCCTGCTCGGTCAGAAGCCTGGTTTGGGGTGACTTGGCTTTGGCAGCCCTAAGAGCTGTCTGTTCAGCTCTAGTGCATGGCCCTGACACCTGGGCCCAAACTCGTCTCTTCCCAGCAACTGGGAGTCGGGGTGGGGTGGGGGCGGGGGGAAGGGGTTGAGACCCAGCTGCCTGGTTGGCAATCCTTGCAGAGAGACGGTGCCTTCCGCCTTGGCGAAGCTGCAGAGGGCATCAGGTGTCCTGACCCAGGTTTCGGCTTTAAATAGCTCGGACACTGCCCCTTGGGTTTCCCCTGCATTTATGGACTTTGTGGAGTCCACAAGATACTCCCATTTGTCCTCACAGCGGTGAGCACCGAGCCAATACCCCACCCCTCCATTTGAGGCGTCTACCGCACCCTTGGCCAGACAGGGAGAGCGCTGCTGTACTCCCTGCTTTTGGTCTGCTCAGTCTGTAATTATGCATAGCAATGATTTCAAATGACAGCTCCCCATTAGTAAATGAGTTGATACACGTAAAGCACTCGCCACAGTGCGAGGGACATAATACGTGCTCAGTAAATATTAGAATTGATTCTCATTTTGTGTCAGGCACCTTCCTCATCAGGAGGGACCGTAGCCTGGGGTCAGCAGCACAGACTCTAGAGGTAGAGCACTTGGACCCAATGCCCAGCTCCCCACCTGTACCAATGGCTTCTGTGCCTCAGTCTCCCCACGTGTAAAAGTCTCACCGTGCTGTCTTCCTTACGGGGTCATGGGAGAGTCGGTGAGCTAGCACACTGAGAGCGAGAGCTTGGCACACAGCTCGGTCCATGTCAGTTCTCCTTGTTACATATGAATGTGTTGCACTCCAGCCTTTGCCTGGACTGTGATTTCTAGTCCCTCGCATCACTGGCTTCTTCTCATCCTCAGGACTAGGTTTAAAGGACAGCCCCCTAGGAAGGTGTGCCAGATCACTCCGTTAAACAGACACTCACACACCCGCCCCCCACTCTCCAAGCTCATCACCAGTTTTTCTTTTCCACCCTTATCTGTTGTGCTGTCTGCTCTTATCCTAGGATGTGAGCTCCAGGAGGGCGGGCAATTTGCCTGCTTTGTTCATTGCTGTGCCCTCTGCTCCCAGCAAAGTGCCAGCACATAGTGAGTGCTCAGTAAACGTTCATGGAATGAACAAATAAGCCTCGCCACAACTTTGCTTTATTCGTTCCACAAATAGGTACCGAGTACACAGTGGTGAATAAGATGCTCTGGTAAGTCTTGCATTTTAGTAAAATTTTTAAAACCCCTGGGCAGGCTGCCAGGTATGGTTGGGCAGTCTGTGCACTGCACAAAGGCACTGGACATGGGGGTAAATAGAGGTTGTAACCCAGTCTGCTTGCCAAGCGGTGAGTCCTGGTGTGGAGCTCTCTCAGCCCAGAGGGGCACCTTTGTTAATGCAAAAACCATCTTGGGAAGTGGGCCTTTCACAGAAGATATACTTGCCTAAGGTCACACCCCTACAAAGGAGGCAGTCAAGATGCAAGGCTGCCTTTTGACTTCTTTGGAGGGTCTTTCGGTGGCCACGGGCACAGTGTACTGGAGTTGCTCCCCGAGCCCCACCTGTCGGAAGGGGAAGTGATGCTCACAGGAATCTGCGCACATCCTGTCTGGAATCACACTATATGTTGATGGCACAATCTCATGTTTAGTGGATTTCAAGTGCATGCATCTTTTTAAAAAAATATTTTTATTGGTTTCAGAGAGGAAGGAAGAGGGAGAGATAGAAACATTAATGAGAATCATTGGTTAGTTGCCTCCTACATGCCCCCTGCTGGAGATATCAAGTTGGCAACCTGGGCATGTGCCCTGACCGGGGATCGAACTGTGATGCTCAACCACTGAGCCACAATGGTCAGGCCGCAAGTGCTTGCATCTTTTAAACCAGTGGTTCTCAACCTTGGCTGCACATTAGAATCACCTGGGAATCTTTTTAAAATCCTGATTTCTGGGACTCATCCGGAAATTCTGTTTCTTTGTTATGGGTTGGGGCCACAACATTAGCAACAAAGAAACAGAATTTCCGGATGATGAGACCAAAAATCAGGATTTTAAAAGGATTCCCAGGTGATTCTAATGTGCAGCCAAGGTTGAGAACCACTGGTTTAAACCCTCATTTCCCCTGCAGGCCTCTCCACATGTCTCCTGTCTCACGCTCACCTTGGGCCTCCCCAACATCTTCTGTGCACGTTCCTTAGCACCCCCTTTCTTAGAGTCACATGAAGACAAGTGGTGCTGCAACTGTCCTTTCTCTCGAGTCCTGCCGGACCTTTCGTCCCCCACACCTCAGTCTGCCCCCCGTAAGATGGAGCTAATCATCTGTAGCTGCTTTAACGTGGGGGCACAGGTGAAGGTGCTTTGAAAAGCAGCAGGTGCTCTGCCAACTGGAGAGAATTATGCTATTTGTTTTCATGAAACTGGAGGCAAGTGGGCCCCATTTCACTCATTCGTTTCTCCCTCCCTCCCTTCACTGGATTCTACTGTGTGCCCAGCGAATACCACACCTCTGATTCTTGGGGATTTGGGCCCAATTTCCAGCGTGGCCACCAGGCCTGTGCCACCACACCCCAAAGGTCAGCCCTGGTATGCCAGGCTTGTGGAAGCAGGGAGGGGACTGGGCTGGGCCTCCCATGCCAGCCCAGTTTGGGCAGACTCCACGCCTGGCTGGGTCTCTTACTTGGGAAGCCCTCTTTTGCCCTTTGTCGAATATGAGGTTTTCTGCTTATGAATTCCTTTGCCAAATCTCCAAGAAAAAAAAAAAAGGCAGGTCCACAGGGATTGAAGTTGCATACATTTTTTTAATTGAAAGAAGTCAGCCTCCTAAGTATTGCTTTTACAGGTTTATCAAAGTCCAGTATTCAAACCACTCGCATTTTCTAAAAATAATTCTGGCCAGAGGAGCAACATGGCCTCCCCAGGCGCGGTGGATCAGTTTTGGCAACTTGATGAAGAAGCAACTTGAAATGAATAAGTCAAAGCCTTGCCCTCAGCCCGGACACCTTCCCCGCCTCTTCTCCTTCGGAGTCATTCCCGGAAACGGTCGCTGCCTCTAAGATCAGCCTGGGCCAAACCCAGTCGGGCTGAGGGCTCCACGGGCAGCAGCCGGAGTTGCCTGTCGTTTCTGTGTGCGTGTCCGCGGTGTGAAGTGTCCTCTTGAAAGTTAAGTGTGGGGAGCAGGTGCAGTCGGGGAGAGAGAGCAGGGAGGCATACTCTGGCTGGGTTCCTGTAAACATCCATCGCGGTGCGGAAGGCCAGAAGCCAAGGCAAGGCCATCTGTGCAATGCTGCAGGCGGGAGAGGTCTTCGGACATGCCCGCCTTCTCCCTTTGGGGAGGGGGACAAATGCCTTCCCGACCTCGGCACTCAGTCTCAACCTCTCCATCCCCCTGTCCTGGGCCTGGATGGGAGCCTCTCTGTTGGCACAGAACTTCTGAAGGGAGCAGGCCTAACAAGAGAGAAAAAGGGGTGTTACCAACATGGAAGCAACAACTGCCACCTGTCCTGGATGGGACTCTGGACCCTCCACCCGGCCTCAGGAGGCTCCTGGGGGCCAGGGAAGTCTTCCTTCTCTTCCTCGCTCTCAGTGAACCACCAGAAGCCACAGACTCAGGCTGGGAGTGTTTTCCGATAACTTATTTAAAACTTCTTTTAATGAATTTGCCTGATTTCTAAGGACCCTGGGCTGAAGAACCAGTGCAATTTTACGTGGGAGAGGAAGACTGTCCGTTATTGGGAAGGAGGGAGGGAATCCTGGTACCTGGGAGAGGGCAGCCCATGCAGTGGTCACCCAAGGGTCTGCCAGCTGACAAGAGCTCTAGGGCAGCTGAGCAAGCTCTGGGTAGTGGGCAGGGCTTGGCAGCACCTCCCACCTTGCCCATAAATGCTTCACAGCCTACAGGAAGGCTGTGGCCACAGCCAAGGTCCTTAGCAGCCCCACTTAGCTCTTTCTCCCAGGACATAGCATCACCCCCCGCCCCCGCCAGGCCCCTCGAAGGTCCCCACTCCCCTTGCCCTTCTCTCTGTCCAGCTGGTGCCAGTGTGTCTGCAGTGTCTCATACTCCCATGCCCATCCTCCGCCCCAGTTCTGAGTCTCATCTTTGCCAGTTCAGACTATTGCTTCTGCAAACGTCATCCAGCATCATATGAAACTGCTGTTAAACACCCAACACGTCTTGTTCATCAGGGCGCTATTGACATTTGGGGCAGATGATTCTCCGATGCTGGAGGGCTGTTCTGGGCAATGAAGGATGTTAGTAGCATCTCTGGCCTCTGACCACCAACTGCCAGCAGCATCCCCAAGTACAGTAACAACAAAAATGCCCCCTTGCTCCATTTCCTAAGACCAAGGGGGAAGAACTGCTTCCACTGAGAACCACGCATCTCCTGCAGGTGGAGGCTGCCAGCAGGTGCTAGGATCACCTCCCAAACAAACAACTTGCACTTGAATCTTCATCCCGGGTCTGCTCACAGGAGAGCACACCTGAGATGGAGCCTCACGCAGGTGATTTCATTCCACCGTCCTAACAACCCCAGGAGTTATATACTATTACGGTTCCATTTTACAGAGAGAGACACTAAGAGAGGGTGAAGGATGCCCACCTATCCAGGGCTTTGTCCCACAGGAGATCTCAAAGACTACCAAACCTTGTACCACCCGTGTGCCAGGTGGGTGCAGGGACCCCATGAGGAGTGCAGCTCCTGCCTTTGACACAATATAGTGAACAATTTCAGATACCTGACAACAGGAAGATGCATGGAGCTCAGAGTCTCAGAGTCTGGGAAAGGCTGTGCACAAAAGGCATGCCAGGTGGAGGGCAGGTGGCCAGGTTGGCATGGGGTGGGGGAGGGGTAGAAGGCAGGCCAGTGGGGAGACAAGGCTGGAGAGGGTAGCAGGGACCAACTTGTTCCAGTTTCTTGTGTTCTCTGCCAGATTCATAGAGGCTGGCTGGGGACACATCCTTCCACGGCTCAGACCTTCCCCGGCTTCCACTAATGACACTGGTAAGTCTTTGAGTCCTTGGGCCCCAGCCCACCTCCCCACTAGACCTGACAGGTGGGAAGGGGAACGGGGGCCACAGCCAGAGCGTCAGCATCGGAGCTCTTGGCCCTTAGAGAGGTGTTCACAGGCCCCCCTCCCCAGGCTCCTGGAGTCCACCTCCTGTTGACCTCTCTCCTCCAAGTAACCCCTGGGGTTCCTATGGGGGTGCTCCTGGTGTCCATGACCTGGAGCAGGATTCTTCCTTCAGATTCACCCTCACTGGGCTCACTGCAGCCACCTCCGAGGCAGGGGATCACGCCGAGCCCATTTCAGACTTGGGGGATGGGGTGTTGGAGAACACAGAACCCCCCCATGGAATAGACCCACTCCTTTCCCAGTCCTGTGGCCACAACAAACAGCGTCAAGTCCCAGAGCCTATCAGGCAGGATGGAGCACCTCTCTCCTGTGCTAATATAGGGCCTCGCAGGAGCTGGCTCGGCAGGAATCCATCAGCGCTTCTGTCTCCATGGTGTTTATCTATAGGGTCACTTTCTATTTATGGCAAGGGATGCCAATTTTCCATTTCTGCTAGTAACATAAAGTTCCTCTTTTCCCAGAACATTAATTTCACTTTAAAAATTTAGAGAGCCGGTTTAAAGAAAACAACCACATAAATAATAGTTCAGGCAACAGGACGAAAAGTGTTGAAGGGGTCTTGTGAGGTTTGGGAAGATACTGATCCAAGTTAGTTCCACTCCACAGAGAATGAAGGGGCCCAGAGAGGGTGGTGACCTGCCCTAAGTCACACAGCAAGTCAAGCACAGACATCGTCCCGGGCCTCTGTGTCCACGGCTGGAAGATGTCCTGGGACCTCTCATCTGGGCCACCAACCCCCTGCTCCTCTGGTCTCACAGCAAAACCCAGAATGAGAACAGCTGACCTCGATCAAGCGCTTTACACTCACCTTGTCCCATCTGCTTTAACTCGTGTCTTATTCCTCAAAACAACCCTAGGAGGTGGGGCCAAGGAGGACCATCCTTCCTGAATTTCAGATGGGGCCAGAGAGGTTAAGTAAATTGTGCAAGGCCACACAGCCAAGCCAGGATTTGAACCTCCTTGCTATGACCCCCAAGTCTTAATTCCTCTCAGCATCTTTGGTCCATCACTTTCCTCCAAGGCATCAAAAGCCCTAGCTGAGCCCTAGCTAGTGTTGCTCAGTGGTCAGAGTGTCGGCCCACACACTGAAGGGTCGTGGGTTTGATTCCCGGTCAAAGAAATGTACCCGAGTTTCAGGTTTGCTCCCTGCCCTCCCTCCCCCATCATGGTGCATGCAGAAGCAACTAATCAATGTCTCTCTCTCTCCCTCCTTCCCTTCCTTTCTCTCTGAAAAGCAAAGGAAAAAATACAGTGGGGTCTTGACTTAGGAGTGTCCCGACTAACGATCCTCCGATTTTTTGCATTGAGTTGACAGAGTAATTTGAGTTAACGAGCTCGGTCTCTGAACGAATTAAACTCTAAATCAAGGCCCCACTGTACCCTGTTTAGGATTTAAAAAAAAGCCGCAGCTGAAAACCATCCCGGGCTGCAGTTGAGAATCTAAGCCAGTGGTTCTCAACCTTCTGGCCCTTTACAGTTCCTCATGTTGTGACCCAACCATAAAATTATTTTCGTTGCTACTTCGTAACTGTAATGTTGCTACTGTTATGAATCGTAATGTAAATATCTGATATGCAGGATGGTCTTAGGCGACCCCTGTGAAAGGGTCATTCGACCGCCAAAGGGGTTGCGACCCACAGGTTGAGAACCGCTGATAAGCAATGCCTAACATTATTAGAACATGAGACAATTCATTAGCCATTGGCTGTTTTTCTTTCTTTCTGAGACTGTAACCTCATTCCAGGCCACTCCCCAGAGGGGACAGAGGGAGTGAGTGGCTGACTGGCTTGTCATTAGAATGATAGTTGGGCACTTAATCCATTTTAAGCACCAATATCCCAGCTTGAGGATAGGGCTTAAGTGAGAAAATGGCCTATGTATCTTAAGGGTACTGATGTAACGATGCTCTGGACCAGGGGTCCTCAAACTTTTTAAACAGGGGGCCAGTTCACTGTCCCTCAGACCGTTGGAGGGCCGGACTATAGTTTAAAAAAAAACTATGAACAAATTCCTATGCACAATGCACATATCTTATTTTGAAGTAAAAAAACAAAACGGGAACAAATACAATATTTGTATTTGCATGTGGCCCGGGGGCCGTAGTTTGAGGACCCCTGCTCTGGACATACTGAAAGGGGATTCAGTATGATCCCTACCGGGTCATTCGGGCTCTCCCTCCTCAGCTGGGTGACCTCAAGCAATCACCTAATTTCTCTGGGCCTCATTCCTCATCTGAAAGGAAGACAACGATGCCTACCTCTTTGGGCTGTTTGTTGTGAGGCTTACATGAAATCCTGTGGGTGGAATGCCTGCCCTACCCAGCACCCAGGAGGCAGGGTACCTGCGGGTTCCCCTCCTCCTTGTCCCCACCTGTTCCCAGCCAGAAACACCAGGCAGGGGCCTCCTCAACGCTGGGGCCTTCTGAAAGCAGCTCTCCTCCTCCAAAGACCTTGCCTGTTGGAAACCCATTACTCGTTGCTCTTTGTCCATGTATCAAACAAACAACCAAAGTGATGACGTCACCGAAGAGGTCACCCAAGTATGATTTGCCCAGTGTCTCCACTGTGGTCTCTGGGACAGGCTGTGCGGCAGGAGGGCCTCCGCCTTGTCTAGGTGACAAGTGTGTGGCCAGAAGGGGACGGGAAAGGAGAAGCTGCCTGGCTCATGTCTCTGATGGAAGTCAGCTTCTCAAATGTGGATTCTGGTTCACATGCCAGCTATTGATGCTCATCAGAGTGGGGCTTGTGAAGATTCTTTGTCCACAACGTGTTCCCATTTGGTCCGTGTCCAAGATTCCGTGAGGCCTTCTGTAGGGCAGCGTCTGCCCAACACCTTCACGAGTCCTGCCACACCCAACAACCACCTGGACTGCTCTTATTTAGTATTTTCAACCAACACACCTCTTTTTCTTTTATCGTCAATCCTCTCCTGAGGACATTTGATTTTTAGAGTGGGAGGGAGAGGGGAAGACAGAGAGAAACATCGATGTGAGAAACCTTGATTGGTTGCCTCCTGCATACACCCCGACCAGGGCTGGAGAACCTGCAACCAAGGTACGTGCCCTTGACAGGAATCGAACCCGGCTGATGCTCTATCCACTGAGCCAAAGCAGCTAGTGCCACAAACCTCTTAACTACAAAATTTTAAAAGGAGCCTTTATGACATTATCATGAATAAAAATTGGTATCATTTGTCATAAACATGAGGCGATGCTAAAAGTAAACATCATGGAAATGAAACTATGATGTCTAGCTAGATACCCCTGGCCTGCAAAGACGAGCCTGGGCCTGGTTTCTCTGGTCCAAAGGGAC